TCCCGGGACACCTTTAACCATGCATGCATCCGCCACTGGGCTCTGCACAAGCAATTTGCAAGGTACAAGAGTTGTTGAATGATTTCTACTCCCTTTCTGGGCTTAAATGCAATCCGAGTAAATGTGAAATTTATTTTGGGGGGCTATCTGGGCTTTACAAAAGCAATGCTCTCCAGTTGTCTGGATTCCAGGAGGGAAACCTCCAAGTCAGGTACTTGGGGCTTCCATTATTCTCTGGGAAGCTCTCCACCTCAGCTGACTGTGATAAGTTGGTGGAGAAGATCACTCACAAGATTGGGTCCTGACGAGCAAAGAAATTGAGTTATGGGCATGCTGCAATACTGGATGCAAGTATTTCTCCTGCCTAAAAAGGGTTTAAAGAAAGTGTATGCTGTTTGCTCGAGGTTTCTTTGGCATGGGGGGAATGAGGGTAGAGCAAAAATAGGCTGGGATAGAATGGCTCGACCAAAAGCAGAGGGTGGTCTTGGCATCAAGGATCTCCTAGCTTGGAATAGGGCCTGTTCTATTCGAATGGTCTGGCTTCTAATGATGAAGAGTGGTACAATTTGGGTGGCCTGGATGTGGAGATACAGGGTCAAACAGGGTAGTGTTTGGACTATGAATGTGAGTCCAAGTAGTTCGTGGGCATGGAGAAGGGTCCTCAAGCTTCAACCATTGCTTCATGCTCATCTGACAATGTCTGGTGATACTCCTAGTTGGGATGGTAAGTTGATGCCTGTATATAAAGTGTCCACTGTGTGGAATTCTTTGCGCATTGAACATCAAAGGGTGGAGTGGGCAAAACTGGTATGGGGGAAGAAGCACCTACCTAACAATAGTTTGCTTGCATGGCTGGTCCTACTGGATGGCATCATTACCAAAGATAAGCTGGTAAGATGGGGTAAGACAATGGATGGTTCTTGCTTGCTTTGCAGGGGATCGGTGGAGACCAGAGAGCATTTGTTCTTTCAGTGTTCTTACTCTTTGCAGGTTGTTTCATGCTGGAGAGAGGGTAATTTGTTATGTAGACCGAGTTGGCAGGGAAGTGTGCAGGCTGCTGTTGCCTTGAACAAGAGGGGGACTTCGACAGGAAGGCTTGCAGGGATCTTCTGGTGTGCTTGTATTGCTTACCTGTGGCGTGAGAGATGCAGCAGACAGCACCAATTGCCACCCAAAGATGCTGCAGCTCTTGGCAGATTGATTATCTCGGATTTATTGTACCTAGGTAGTGAGGATAGTGACTTACAGGCAGACCTGGTTGCTGCTGGTTTTTCTATAGGTTGAGTTGGGAAGTTGAGTAGTCAGGTGGGAGTTTTTTGGGGGGGTTTTGTTTCTCTGCAGGGTTATTCACCTTGAGTGACCCTTTTCGTTGTATCAGTCCCTATATGTACTCTGCATATAGATTTGGTAATACAATTGCAACTGATTCAATGAAAAAAAAATATATAGAGATAATAGATTAATTAAATTATATTAGTTGAAAGATGAAGTCTTGTACTTATTGAAAGTATCATTAGGTAAAATATGAGTCGATGTAAGTGAAAATAGAAGAAATAAAAACGGGAAAATTGCAAGGTTGGTCACTAAAAGTACCAAAAAGTTCAATTTTGGTCACTAAAAGTATTTTATTCCATTTGTGGTCACTGAAAGTGGTTAACGTTTCACCTTTGGTCACTCTCCGTTAACACCGTTAGTATTTAGCTGACGTGGCTAACAGAAATGCTGATTCGCCCATTTTTAACTCTCCACATCATAAAACCTCACCCACCACATCAGCATAACCCAACCCATAATCTGGCCTTTCCATCTCAACCCACGCAGCCCAAAAAAATCCAACCAACCTTTTACAAAAAAAAAAAAAATTAAACCTTCTGTTGCAATCCCTAACTCCCTCAATCCTCCAATCCACGAATCTCCATCGCACACACCAATCCCCCGAGCAGTTCCCTTCCCCTCCGATAAAGCATCGCAGCCCAAATCCCCTGAGCAGGTCAGGGTCGAGTTACTGTCCAAATCCCTCCCCTACATCCACCGATTCAGAAGAAAAATAATCACCGTCAAGTACGGCGACACCGTCATGAATGAAACACCTGAAACTTAAGGTCCTGGTGGTGGAGAAGTTGGCGATTGACTCGCCGACTCTAGTTCTCGAGCAAGAGGTGGTGGAGAAGGCCGAGGAATCGAAGGACGGGAGGAGCTCGTTGCGCCGAAAGTGAAATTACACCGATGATGGTTCATTGGGGTTGGAAAATGGTGAGTTCTCAGTCTCTTAGCTCTGGAAATAGAATACTTGATATCCAAATTCAGAGCTTTCTCTCTGACTTTCTCATGGTAACATCTAAATCCCATCATCCCATATTCCTCTTCTTGTTCGTCCATTTCTAGGTTTGTTTGTGTTCAACGTTGGATTTGGGAAATGAGGTTGGTTCTTTCTCATGATTGAGAGGAGATGGTTGATCACGGGGAAGGTTGAGCTACCAGTCTAGGAAGTGCCAGTGTGGGCAGACAAGGAAGAGGAGAACGGCGTCATGGCAGGCGGTGGCGGCGGAGGTTGGCAGGCGGTGGTAGTGGAGGATTGGGTCGAGCCGGGTTGGTTTAGGGGTTGAATAGGTTGGGGTATATAGAGGGTCTGACGTGGTGGGTAAAAAATGAGTGAATTAGCATTTCAGTTAGCCACGTAAGCAAAATACTGACGGTGTTAACGGAGATTAACGGAGAGTGACCAAACGTGAAACTTTTCACCATTTTCAGTGACTACGAATGAAATAAAATACTTTTAATGACCAAACGAGAATTTTTTAGTACTTCCAGTGACCAATCTTGCAATTTACCCAAATAAAATATATTGTAACAAATCAAGATACAAAAGGTAAAAAATGAAACGGAGTAGGGAAGAGTGAAAATAATACCCATATCCGACCCACGAAACTGGAAATCAAGTACTATATGCTCCAACATAAATTAAATCAGATAATATCAATGATTTTAAGACCGTACCGAAGGTTGTATAAAAAAATAAGCGATAAAATATTTTATAACAAAATTATGATTTAACTATTTCATATCGCTAAATACCACCTACTAATTTAATACTCGAATAGAATTTTTTCCCCCATCGATCACTAATACTGTAGGATTGTTCATTCTTGCATAATACACAAAGAAAAGAGTTCAAATTTTTTTCTCACAATAATATTGACAATAATCTCCTCCCGTAGTTAAGCGCCAGCTATATTCAGTTTTCGGACAGCAATAGCCAGGGGCGGACCCACGGCTGTTCGGACACCCCTAAATTTTGGGAAAACGATTATCCAACCCGCGGTAGTAATTTACGTATTGACAAAAAAATTATAATTGATAGTCGGGGACACCCCTAAATTTAAAAAAGTGATTATCCTACTCTCATCTTTTAGTTTGAGTATGAGAATATAAGTCGTAGTTTGGGTAATTCAAACCTAGGACACTTTTATTATTAATAAACATAATTTTCATTAGGCTACAACTCATATGTTATTCGATTTTAAACACCGTGTAATAGTATAATGTCATTCTCTATCTCTAATTATTTTCAAAATCTAACAATTAAACAAATTTCAAGCTACCCTTAATTTGTATTAATTTATGGTTGTACAACAAGTATTGAAAGAGTCTTTTCAGCTTTGGATTACATCAAGAACAAGTTTAGAAATTGAATATGTGATCAGTTCGTGAATGATTGTCTAATATGATATATAGAGACAATTTTTTTTTAATAGTGTAGACCCCAAGTGTGTTCTACAATCATTTTTTAATATGAAAACACATTGTGAATTTTTCAAACTGTATGAGTAAAGTATTTCTTATTTAAATATTATTTATTAATTATTTTAGAATTATTTATATTTAATTTATTTTTTAAAAGAAGACACCCCTATGTAAAATTTCTGGGTCCGCCACTGGCAATAGCCCATATTTTCCTATGGGCTGCTGCATCTAAGATTAGGGTGACATAAGATGGACGAATCGGGCCGTACACGTGTCCGTGAAGCCGGGAATGAAGCTTGGCCTCGCAAGTTGGTACTTGGTAGGGCACAGCGACAGGGAGGGCTTTGGGGCGGAAACTGAGAGAGAGAAAGGGTAAAAAGGAAAATCAAACAAGAAACGGATGAACGGTAAATATAATAAAAATAAAGTAAAATATACATAAAAGAATAAACGGGATTCGTTTGATTTAAAAAAAAAAAAACGAGAAAAGGAGAAGACGGGTGCGGGAGAGAAATGGATTGGGGTGCGCAGTACTCGTCGAGGCGCACGTTAGAGGTCATCCTCTATATCTCTGGGTCCTTCCGTTTCCGCTTCTTTATCCCTGAAAACCTAGACGCACGAACCTCCCCCTACCTGTTGTTTCGCTCGCATTCTCCTCCCCCCCGCGTAGATCTGAAGGCACATCCACTCGCCTCCTCTCTGTCTTTCGCTGCGTTTTCGGTTTTGACGAAGATCGGCCTCCGAGGGTTTCTTCTGTGGAAACCGCTCTTTTTCTCATCGGATCTCCTTGATTTTCAGAAGAATTTTGAGGTAATTGATTGTTTTTGCTGTTGGGTTTTTTTAATTTTGAAGCGATTCGATGTCTGGTTTTGTCGGTCGCGGCTGCTTTTCATCTGGGTTTGTTGGGTAGATGGATTCACTACCTCGCATCGGCATTAGGTTTTCTGCGCATGAGGTTTCAGATAAATTGACGATTTTTAGCTTGTGCATCAATCAATTTCATTTTTTGTTCTACTAAATATCATGTTTCCCTCCGTGGTGAATCAATCAGTTTGCGGTTATGATTGAATTTTCCCTCAGTGCTAAAGATGAGAGCTTTGGACGCCGTTCTTTCTTGTGCCAAAGTCGTCCGTCTCGACATCAGAAGCTGAAAGGAGTTTACTTTTTTTTTTTTTTTTTCTGTTCCAGATTTAATAACCATCCAGAAGTTGAATTTCTTGATTTTGTGGATAGCGGGTATCAGCTGAGTAGCTGCAATGCCGGCCCATGTTGATGTAAGCATATTCCCTTCTTATGTTGATGAGGTTCTGCTACTTTGATGTTATCGTTGTTCCTCAATAGGGATAATATTTCTGTAGAAATATGAAGCATATGATGACTATGCGGATGAACTGGAAGAGGATGAAGAGGAGGAGGAGGAATATGAGCAAGAAGAAGAAACGAAACCTTCTGCTGAAGAACTGGAATATCTTAATTACAGAGAGCTGAAGAAGGAACAAATTAGGAAGAAGATGCAGAAGGAATATGGGGCAGCTGCTGCTGGGTCCCAAGATAATAAGAGAAAACCTTATCTTGAAAGGTCTGTTATGGGCTTTGATCCTCCTTCATTACTGGGTGACTCCCGTTCATCCTTCTGGTTTATATATCTTGGAAGATATAAAGTCTGGAATTATATTTGTGGCTGTTAAATAATGTCCATGCACTGTCATTGACGGTTGATAATTTGTTAATTCTGTCTCTCTCTGCAGTTTTGGTTCATTTTTCGGCCCCTCTCAGCCAGTTATCGCCCAGAGAGTTATCCAGGAAAGCAAGTCGTTGCTGGAGAACCCACACTTGGCAATGAAAGTTATCAACTCACAGCGTAATGTATGTGTTATGCCTGTTTATTCTTCTTAGGTTATCAATGTATGGCCCATTCATAAGTTTCTTGTGAATGCAGGAAATTAGCTTAATATTCTTCTTAGGATATTGCTCATGTGGCTGACCTTATATTAGGTTTGGCTAGAATGACTTAGACTTTTGGGTTGATGCTGCTGTTTAGTCTCGAGAATCTACCATGAAAAGAACATGTGCAAATTTTAGATCTTGAGGTTGTGCTTTAGTAGAGTAAGGTATATGAGAGTGATTAACCTGAAATGATGAACTCATTTATTAATTATAATTAGAGATCTTGCGTATTTACATGGCAAATTCATGATTTCTCTGGTCAATTGGTTTTCCGTTGAGTGTTTTGAGTTGTCTGCTCTCTCCTTCATATGTGGTCCTTGCCCTGAGGATATATGTTGCTCTTTTGGTCGCTATTGATTAGCATATCCTTGATGTCACATAATCTTGGTTACTGCTTCAGGAGAAACGGAGTTCATCCACAGCCACGGCTTCAACGAATGGCGTAACTGAGAGGATGTCGAAAATGAAAATTGAGGTACTAATCATTGAATGGTTGGGGGATAAACCATAGGGAAAGAAAGGGAAGAGGTTCACATTAATATTCTCCTGTAATAATACATTTTCTGTTCTACTTCAATACAGCAACAAACAAAAGCCCAGAAACTCAAGGATACAAGGGATTACTCGTTTCTGTTATCCGATGATGCAGCTGTCCCAGTTCCCGCAAAAGAATCTGCTGTGCGAAGAGTGTCTGTTTCTCAGTCTGGTGTGTTTCTGCCCTGTTGCATAGTCTCATTTGGGGTTCAGTGCTTTCTATTTTTATTGAGAGTAACTTATACAGGTTTTTTGCTGATAAGAGGCACGATCTGCTCAAGTGCAACAGAAGAGCAACCAGCATATGGGAAATGGTTACAGGCATGTTAATGGTGCTCGTGAACAGCAGAGGGGATCAGTTCATGGGAATGGCCAACCACAATTTGGAGCAGGGTCTCGCAAGGCTATTTCAACCTCAGGAGCTAGGCCAAATGCATCACCAGTAGATTCTAGGAGGCAGCTTGCTAACAACAATGGTATTGGACCGGGACGGCCATCGACAGGTACAATGAAAGGGCCGTCTCCAAAGATTGCTGCTGGTTATGTGGAGAAGAAGACTCCTTTGCCAGCTTCCAAGACCATACTACCCCCAACTCGCAAGCCTCTCCCTTCAAAAATGCAGTCAGGCATTCAACGGCCTCAGTTGGGAACCAGGAGAGTGGTGCAAGAACCTAATAGACATCCCGAGTACAGAAGGATAGTGCAGGATCCAAGTAGGCAGTTAGAGAACAGAAAAGCAGCACAAGAAACCAGTAGATCTAAAACGATGTCAAATCAACAGCCACATTCTAGACCTCAGGTTTGGATGCTGTTCTTTCACCTTTTCCATTGAAATTAGCTCTGGCAGCGTGAAAATTCTTGAAGGGTTTGTATAATTTATTAGTATTGGTGACCTCTACAGATGAATAAGCCACCTGTCAGACCAACCTCATCCTACCCTTTAGCACAACAGAGTAGTGTGATTAAAAGGCCTGTTCCACGGCGTCCTGATGATGACCACATTGACCGGTACAGTAAGCCTGTCAAAAGAATTATCTCACATGATGTTCGACCTAAGAAAAAGCATTCTGAGGATGAAGATGCTTTTGCTGAGCTCAGACAGATGTTAGGGTAAAGCCACTCATCCTTCATCTTCTTACTTTTTTGTTATGTAATGTTGTTTAGCAGTTGAATTTGTGCCTAATGATTTTCTCAGTGGTCACGCATTTTCTATTTCTTTGTGTTGCTTCTTGTTATATGTTGATTGCGCCTATTGTCATGGTTAGACAAGTGACGTGTGAGTTGCTCTGTTACTGAGCAAAGGTTTTTCGGAGGGGCAATGCATTTAGACAAGGTTTTTGGTTCAAGGGCTATTGTATGTATATTAGTAGTGCTGTGAGTCTGTGCTGTCATTGCTTTCGGTCGTTGGTGATGCGCAGACTTGTTGGGTCTTCCCTGGTCAGTTTTAGGGAGTTAATCAATACTGTCTTTTACCCTGTCTACCTCTCTCTACGCAATGCTAAATCTCTCGTGGAATGGTTTCTCAGGAGGCCAAAGTATGCCGAGTATGAAGATGATGATGATGTTAGTGACATGGAGGCCAACTTTGATGACATAATGGAGGAAGAGAAGAGAAGGTTAGTCTTATGGACCCCTTCCTCAACGGTGTCGTTTTGTTTTTCTTTCGGGTGTTGGTTCGCTGAATTTATGGCTTTATGGCCCTTTTTAATATTATTGGCTGCGGTTGTTTTGTGTCTTGTTTTGGCGTGATGGATGATTATGCAGTGAGAGAATAGCGAAGCAGGAGGACGAAGAAGAACTGAAGCTGATAGAGGAAGAGGAGAGGCGAGAGAGAATGCGAAGAATGGCTAAGAAGCGCAAGTTAAGTCGTTAGTGCCCCGTTAGTTTTAGTTTCCTTGTACACAGCAGAGTTACCCTGTCCGCAGCCCTGGTTTGCTGTCCTCAAAAGGCAGGAGGAAAATGAAGAACAAAAGAAGTCGGGACTCATGTAGTTTGAATTGGGTCCTCATTGGCGTTCGATTTCAGTTCAGATTTCCTTAGGGTGTTGTGTAATCACAATTTTTTTAGATGTAATCTTATGGCTAAATAAAATATTGGGTTCTCCTATGAGTGGTTGGTTCTTGAGTCGCCGTTTTCTCTTGAGAAGAAAGATTGCATTGAACTGGATTGGACCTGGCAATTGGGTAGGGTTGGGTAATTTTGGATTGGGAATCTCGAGTTGTGGATCATCATGGATAAGGTCATGTTGATTTGACTGATATTTGGTTGACATAAGATCCATCGAGAGAGTCTCGTGTTATTTCGGGTTATGAGCGTTCTAAAAAAGTATTCACATATGTATAAAACTAGTTTACCTATAAAAAAGAAAAACAAACATGTTCCATAAAATTTTAAAGACTGTAAGAAGTATTCACATATGTATAAAACTAGTTTACCTATCACACGTCAACTAACACTGTTGAAATCTTTTCATGTTAATGAAAAGAAATACAAGTTGCACATATCTTCAAATAACAATCAAGAAAGTAATACTACTACAAGAAACAATTGAATTTTTTTAAACATTTCACCCACCAATATAACTGATTTTATCATTTTAACAAGGCAAAATACACTTGTATAGCCAAAATTTTCGAGTTTTGCAAATAATAGCCAATTTTTGAGAAATACCACTTATAACCACTTCCGTCTAATTCTTTAACGGTGTCAACTAATAGGCTGACTCGACAAACGAAAATGCTGACCTGGCGATATTTGTTCGGACACGTGGATTAACAAAACAAATATACATAACATAAATGCAAATTTTTATGATTTAATAAGAATGAAAAAAATAAAAAATAAATGCACTATTTCGTACCCCCACTTCCCAACAACTCAACCCTAACCCTAAATTGAAGATGTCTTCTGGCTCTTTCCCCGCCGCCATCAACATCATCTTCATCCCTTCCTTTCCTCCAATCTACTTTTCAATGCTTTCTCTTCTTCAACACTTGCTCCAGATTCCTCCTTTCTTCGATGGCCTGGACGGCGATGGAAACTCGGCATTGAGGCAACAGGAGCTGGCGGCGACTAGGTGCAGTGGTGATACAACAGCGACGGCGGGATGAGGGCGCTCGGGGAGGTTGGGGTTGTCGACTTCCCCTGCTCGTCGATTCCATCGACTTCCCAGCTTCCACTTCCAGATCGGGGGTGCCGAGTCTAGGAACTTAGCGATTGACTTGCTCCTCCGTCTTCTCGGGGAGGACAACAAGGATGATGTGCGATTCGAAGGAGAGGGACTGTGGAGGTGGGTGTGGCCGAGGAGGAAGTGGTTCTTCTTCGATGCCTCAAATCCAGGGCCTAGACAAACAACAATGAAGGAGAATCGAGCGCCAGGCGACAGGGAAGGAGAATCGATCACCTCTTCTGCTTTCGACGTCGCCATGGGGGTCGACGGATCCGGTTTCACTGGCGGATGGGGAGAAGAGGTCATGGGTGTGTTTGATGAGATTTATTTTGCTTTGATTTATGATGTTCTTACGGTTGATGGCTAGAGATTGATATTGTATTCTTGTTTTGATTTGGGAAGTTATGGAGGTGGTAGAACTTGATTATTTTGGGAAGAATAGATCCGCGTAGAGAGACGAAAAGGAAAGGGAAGATCACATGGGGATGGGGAGAAATTTATAATTATTTTATTTTTATAATTGAAATTAATTTTTTTATGAAACTCTTAAAATATTAATTAAAATGACACGTGTCATCTACATGTCACCAACTGTTGAGTAGTCGCTGACATGGGTGCTGAGTTGTCATCTTAGTCAGCATTCCGTTTAGGGGTGTCCATTCGGGTTCGGTTTTTCGGGTTTACCAGAAACCGACCCGATTATATACATTTTCGGGTTTTCGGGTTCGGGTTCGTTTCGGGTTTCGGGTTTTTTGGTTTCGGGTTCGGTTTTGCTTATCGGTTTTTCGGGTTTCGTCTAAAAACCTCCAATGAATAGAACTCAACCCGTATTCTTAGGCGTTCGGGTTTTCGGTTTTCGGTTTTGCTTTAACCGAACCCGAACCCGATAAGGAATTTTCGGGTAACCGGAACCCGCAAGTTCTTATCGGGTTCGGGTTCGGTTTTAGTGGTTTTCGGTTTCGGGTTTTCGGGTTTTTTCGGTTTTCGGTTCGGGTAATCGAACCCGACCCGAACCGACACCCCTAATTCCATTTAGATAACTGACGATGACATTAACACCGTCAAAGTTTGTAACGGAATTGGCTAGATTTGTCATAATAACATTGAAATTGTGGCTATTTTTGGTATTTCTCCAAAAGTGGCTATTATTGTCACAAAGGGGTCGTTTGGATTAGTGTTTTTAATGAGGGATTTGGGCACAATCTCTCACCGTGAGAGATTTTAATTAAAATCACTCGTTTGGAAAATAGTTTTTCGATGAGAGATTTTAAACATTCCGGATTTCAGAAACCCACATATGTGGGATTGTGAAATAGCTGATGACCACCAACTATTTTGAAATCGCTCGATATTTTGTTAATTTGTTCCATATATGCCTATGCTTTTTTTTTCGAAAATCCAACTTTGCCCTTATTCTATTAACCCTTCGTTGCTCTGTCTGTCCATCAATTTTGTCCATATGTTGCAGTAGTGTAGGTGAGGGTTTGCTTGCTCCCATCCAAACGAAGCAGCTCGAAGACGAGAGAGCGGCTGTCGCTGAGTGATGAACGGCGGCGACTCCGTTTCGCGGAGGCCATCTGCGACGTCGAACCCTTCTTCCAGCAGGTGAGTTCGTGAAACCCTCATTCTCCGCTCTTCCTCCGTCGCTCCTCTCGGGGTTTTGGGTTTATTACACCTTGATTGTGGTTGTTTCAAAGGATAGCATAGGTACCAAATTGTTTCTTGTCTCGTGGTTCTGGGTTTCCATATCAAACAGAGGAAGACAAGAACCGAGGCCTGCAAATTGAAGAAGCTAATCCTAATTCATCAAACCAACGAACCGATGACATTCAATTGAAAGGGACGAACTCAATGAACAGCGGCAACTCCGTCTTCCTCGGATGTAACCCCGCAGTGGTAGAGCGGAACGACGAAGTGAGGGAATGAATGGCAGGGAAGAAGAGCGCTCGGCAAGAGGAAGAAGGAACCCAATCTGCTTCTTTTTGTTCCCTTCCTTCGTGTACAGATAGGGAAAGTCCAAGGGTAAGATGTAATTTTCCATTTTCAATTTAAAATCCCTTTTTGCTTGCCAAACAAGTGATTTGGAGAAAATCCCACACAAATCTCTCGAATAAAAAACCTGGGTTTTAAAACGAGTGATTTGATCCCAAATCTCTCTCATATCACTCAAATTAAAAACACTAATCCAAACGACCCCAAAGGTGAAAGTTTTGGCTATACATATGTATTTTGCCATTTAACAATGACATATGAAATGAAACGGATTTAGCGGATCGACCAGCTAATCCACCAAACCCGACCCAAAAACTCTGGGTTAATTGAGTTTGGGTCCTTCGGTTTTGGATTATAAAATTTTCAACCTATTTTTCATTTTTAGAGCGGGTTCGGGTCATATCAACAAATCGTGTCGTGATTTGGCAGGTGTAACCTGGATTATTTTATTCATACTATATGTTTGGCAAAGTGAGAGCGGGCATTTATTCAATTTCAACTTTCAAGGTAATAGTCCATTACTGTGGCAAGTATACATCATAGCTACACTTGCTTGCGGGCGAACATGATACATCGCTAACTAAATTTTATGGCCTGTCCATTAGACATCTTGAACTAATGTTAGATAAGAGTTTATGACTAGGAGCACTTTTATTATGCTATATAGCATTGGTGCTTTAATGTACAATTCAAAGTTGTACCATAACACTAAATGTATAAGTTTATGTTGTACCATAAAGTAATTTGCACCATTATGTTATGGTACAACTTTACAACTTGAAATTGTACCATCACTTAAAGATACAAGTTCAAGCTGTACCATAAAAGAATTTGTACAAAAAGTATAGGTACAATCTAAAGTTGTACCATAACGTAAATGTACAATTTTAAGTTGTACCATAAAGGTAAAAACCTATAGCACCAATACTATATAGCATTGTAAAATTTCTCTATGACTAGATGTCTACAATTAGTCACAGTAATATACTATGGTTAGTAATATGACATTTTCCAATGATTAATTATAATATATAAATTAATTATGAATTTTCTCATTATATTCCACTTTGGTTAAAACTTAAAAGGCTTTACTTAAAAGTACTAAAGCCTCTAGCCAGCATGTTTAAGCAAAATAATATTATTAGCAATCAAAAGAGTCCGAGAATCTTGTACTCAATAATGTTACAATTTACATCACAGTAATAGCTAGATCCCAATAACTAATTGATTAATCATCTAACAAATTATTACTTCTATGATATTAAAGTCAACATCAAATTGGTCTATCAAAAGTTGGCGTTTGAAATTTCATCCTTCTTCTATCAAGCAAAATCTTTGTGCCAAGAACTCCTTCCCAAGAAACCTGCATTGCTGTAATATGGATGAAAAAACGTACAAAAAACTTAAAACACCAAAAGAGTTAAGTCAAAAAGAAAAGAATTGCAGGTAAATTCAAAGTCGATGACCATATAGAATTGCAGGTTTTTTTAGCAATTCGGCTACATAGAAAATCTTTGTGCCAAGAACTCCTTCCCAAGAAACCTGCATTGCTGTAATATGGATGAAAAAACGTACAAAAAGCTTAAAACACCAAAAGAGTTAAGTTAAAAAAGAAAAGAATTGCAGGTAAATTCAAAGTCGATGACCATATAGAATTGCAGATTTTTTTAGCAATTCGGCTACATAGAAAATCTTTGTGCCAAGATCTCCTTCCCAAGAAACCTGCATTGCTGTAATATGGATGAAAAAAGTACAAAAAGCTTAAAACACCAAAAGAGTTAAGTAAAAAAAAAAAGAATTGCAGGTAAATTCAAAGTCGATGACCATATAGAATTGTAGGTTTTTTTTAGCAATTCGGCTACATAGAAAATCTTTGTGCCAAGAACTCCTTCCCAAGAAACCTGCTTTGCTGTAATATGGATGAAAAAACGTACAAAAAGCTTAAAACACCAAAAGAGTTAAGGAAAAAAAAAAAGAATTGCAGGTAAATTCAAAGTCGATGACCATATAGAATTGCAGGTTTTTTAGCAATTCGGCTACCGGGTCCGTTACTATTGTACATATTTACATAACATACAAAAGTGACTCATTGATCCTCCACTGGAGTGGGATACACGATAGAATAGAGAAATCAGTGTTTCCTGCTTTTTGTCCAGATGGAGGATCAATGGGGCACTTAGAACGCTTTTCTCACAGGCTGGTTCAAGTTATGTCCTAAATTACAAAACTTCAAATCAGTTCAGTGAGCAAAACCTGATACACTAGAAAGCAAAATTTGTTAATTCTCCTCGAGGGTGCAGTCCTAACCACATGATGGTCTTAAAGCAGTACTCCACAGAAGAGAAGCACAACAATTTAGTTGGTCAGATCATCATTTTTTTTTTTACATAACAATGGGGATTTACTTGTATTTACTCTGAAAGATCGGTTACAAGAGGAGCAAACAGAAAAGCTGGATCCAAAACAGAGGAGCCATCCGCAACAGGATGAAGCACATTATGCTTGAAAGGAAAACATCAGAGAGCAAAGCACAAAATGAAACAAACCAACAGGGGACCAAACTCTAAAATAGAACACAACAAACCCAGAAGTCCTCTTGTTTCCAAAACAAACAGAGTATAAACAAGCAAAGAATCAGCTCGTCCAACACAGCCAAGACCATGACGATTGAACTCAGCAACGCCATCAGCCGCCTCCTGGGAGCCGCTCAAAGACGACCCATCATAGTGAATCTCGAAACTAAGATTACATGGCAGTGGAAAGGGCTGTGAATCGGACTGCTCCAAGCTGAAAGGCACAGGAAACCGAGGAAGAGAAGCCCATGACCAAGGAGAGCGATGACCACACAACTCCGAGGAACAGTAGCACAACCCCGCCACACCTGGAAAAGACACTGCCACCCACATCGAGCGCCTGTGAGACAGATCCAAACCGCCAAGGATGAACAGAGGGGAAACCAGTGGATGGATTCACCAGAAAACAATGAAACCACCAGATTGGAGGAAGGCCACCATTGTAGATCCGGAAGCGACACCCAATCTGCATAATCCAGATTCCTGAGAGCAAGCCCAGATCTAGAAACAGCTAGATCAACAACAAAACAAACCCATCTCCATAGGAGAGGATTGAGGAAAAGAACCCACAAAGGGAACAAGGAAAGGCCAAAAGGGCTTGAAAGGCTAGAAATGAAAGGAGGAAAACAAGTGAAACAGGAGCACGAAAGCAAATGGAAGGGGAAGCTTGGGCCACCGCCGGACACCTAGAGGTGCCGGCGGCAGCCCTGAAGAAAAGGATGTTGAGTTTTAGTGAGAAGGGAGAGCGAATTTGAATTCCCAGATCATCATTGGCTGGAGTGAAATGAGTCCTTTTGTTCTAGTTACGATACCACTAGTGAACGAAGCAGAAAACGACAATGCCAGACATTAAGTTGCAAGCAAAGAGCATAATTCAAGTACGGGTGTAATATCCGAAAAAAGGAGATAAGATATGTAGAACCAATCAATTAAAGTTACAACTGCATTTGATGACCCAAAACCAATGATCAAATACCCACAACTGCATAAATATACAAGACTGGTTGTTCGTATGCATAGAATAGACACATTAAACATCCATAGAACAGAAACTAAAGGTGCTTAAGTTCTAAATTATTCATACTTGCTTGACTAACAACAATTAGTTTCCAAACCATGTAAACTGAAACATGAATAACAATCGACCCAAGACATTTCATTCCAGTATCTCATATAAGCAAAGAAAGACAACCTTAAAGTAGCCCTCAAATAAAAACAAACAACAATTTATAAACTACTCGGAGCAAATCCCCCCTCTCCCCTGATACAGAAACAATGGTGTCGGTCAAGTTCCTGTGCAACTATGGCGGTCGGATCCTCCCATCCCATGACAGAGACACTAACTCGTAGTTCCAGATCTGACTCAGGAGAGTAGAGAGTCCGAAATCGGAGACCTTGAGATTCCCATTCTGGTCCAATATCATATTCTCCTGCTTGAGATCCCGATGAGAGACTGCCCGGTTGTGGCAGTAGTCGATTGCGCTGATCAATTGCTAAAAGTACCGGTTGCAGTGGTGGACCCAGAAATTTTATATAGGGGTGTCCTCTTTTAAAAAATAAATTAAATACAAATAATTCTAAAATAATTAATAAATAATAAATAATATTTAAATAAGAAATACTTTACTCATACCGTTTGAAAAAATTCACAATGTGTTTTCATATTAAAAAATGATTGTAGAACACACTTGGGGTCTACACTATTCAAACAAAAAATTGTCTCTGTATATCATATTAGACAATCATTCACGAACTGATCACATATTCAATTTCTAAACTTGTTTGTGATGTAATCCAAAGTTGAAAAGACTATTTCAATACTTGTTGTACAACCATAAATCAATACAAATTAAGGGTAGCTTGAAATTTGTTTAATTGTTAGATTTTGAAAATAATTAGAGATAGAGAATGACATTATACTATTACACAGTGTTTAAAATCAAATAACATATGAGTTGTAGCCTAATGAAAATTTTGTTTATTAATAATAAAAGTGTCCTAGGTTTGAATTACCCAAACTATGACTTATATTCTCATACTCAAACTAAAAGATGAGAGTAG